ACTATTAGAATATGGTAGATGTAACAGTGTGCCACTTGCAAGCCTAAGCCATAAGAGGTCTCATATATTTCCACTTGGTCTTTTGTACCTTTGCCATTATCACGAGATGAAATTGGCCAAGCCAGCCAACTGGTTCCAGGAGGAAGGTATGAGACCATGTAATAACACAACTAACCTGGACAAGCTGCCTAAATCAGCTGACTCCTAGGTATGTGAGTGGACCCAGGCAAGATCACAGAGCTGCCCTAACAAGTCCAGCCTAAATTAGCCAACCCATAGGCATGTGAGCTAAATAAATACTTATCGTATGGCATTGTTTTTTGTAGTTAGTTAGTTGTTATACAGTGTTAGTTAACAACACTGTAATGAGCAAGAAATTCTCCGACTCACAGTCAATAAACATTAATTGTACGATCCACACAAATAAAAGCAATGACATACCATTGCATATTTGAAAGATTGACAAATTAAAAAGTATAATACTAAGTTCTGACAGAAATGAGAAGTAGTAATTGATATATACCGTTAATGGGAGTGACAGGGCTCTGGCCATTGCATTGCAAGTGTAAGTCCCCTGGGTGAGGCATCCAGGAAAGCCATTCCACACAGCCCCCGCCCCGATTAAAAAAAGAAGACAAACTGGGCTGGTAATTGTCTTTTGTCTTTTCCTCTCCCTGCCAGGAATGTGGACATCAGGCTGGAGATGGGGCAGCTGCTATCTTGCAACATGAGGTGTTTTAATTTCATTGATTGTATTTTTCATATATTAAATCCATTTGGTTCCCCCTCAAACCTACCTCTTCTTCCCGCCCCTCCCCCCACTGGTTTCTTTTTTTTGTGGATAATAATAAAAGTAAAAGGAGAATGGCTAACATTTATGAAGTACTTTTTACATGTCCCAACATATAATTTGGAGTGCTCTGTGTACCTCAGCTCATTCAATCCTCACAATAATCCTATGAAAGAAGTGCTATTTTTTTGTTCCATTTTACAGGTAAGGAAATGGATACAGAAGTTAAATAAATTGCCTGGGTTCATACAGCTATTAAGTGGAGCCAGAATTCCAAATCCAGCTACCCGGCTCTAGCGTCTATGCTCATGACTATTTGCTACTTTTTATTCTCTTTTATCTCTTCGACCGTCTTAAAAAGGCTTATTTAATAGTCTCTTGGGTTTTTATTTTCTAAAATTGTTGGCGTTCCTATTCTCCTGTTTGTTCCACCTGCTGATTCTTCTTTATAAAGAATGATTCCCTTGTATGTTTTAACATTTTTGACTCATTCATTCAGCAACACTGATTGAGCACGTATCGTGTGGAGCTAGGGATACATAAGTAAAGCAGGCCAAGTCTCTGCTCTCTTACCTTAAATTCTAGTAGGAGAAAACAGTAAACAAGGGGACAGAGAACAGAAGGGAGTGATTATATAGGATGGTAAAGGAAAGATCTCTGATAAGGTGACATTTGAAAAGAGACCTGAAAATGTGAGAATGTGAGCTATGTGTATATCTGGGAGAAGAATCCCCAAGCAGATAGAATGGCCAAGACAAGGGCTGCACAGCAGGAACATGCCTTGAATGTTCAGGAATGGGCAGAGGCCTGTGTAGCTGGAATGTGGCATGTGAGGGACAGAGCAGAGCAGATGAGGGCAGAGAGACACCCGGACGCGAGAGGTGCCCATCACGCAGGGCCTTTGAGGTCATAACTTTGAGGCTGGATGGTGGGGGGGCCTTTGGAGGCTTTTTTGTGAGTCATAAGCTCAAAGATGGTATTTAAAACTATGAGACCAGATGGGCTCACCCAGAGAATAGTGTTAAGTAGAGAAGAGGTCTGAGCCCTGAGGCCTGGGACCTTCCAGCTGTAGGGGAGGAAAATTTTTCCTTGACCGTCTTCCTGGCTGGGTCTGGAAGTTAAACTGACAAAAGCAAGTTAACACGAGGAACGCAAACAAATTACTTAATGTAAGTTTTACATGACCCAGAAGCCTTCATAAGGAAATGAAGACCGGAAGAAACAGACACTGAGTATATTTTTATGCTAGGTTGGATGAAGAGCGGACAGGACAGTCGTGGAGGAATATCGTAGGTCAAGGAGTAGGAGATAAATTTAGTAAGGGGGGGGGGAACTCGCCAAAGCCTGTTTGTTCACATTCTTTTCAGCGTCCCTTTGTTTTCTGAGATAAGGAATCTCTTTCTTCTGGGTATACGGAGGGCACCTCTCACAGTAGGGTTATTTTTGTTGCAGGGGAGAAGGGAGGGGGGTGTCAGAGTGACCTTTCTGCTTCTGCTGTTTTCCCAAACTTCTTTTGTTCAAAATATTCAAGGGGCGCCTGGGTGGCGCAGTCGGTTAAGCGTCCGACTTCAGCCAGGTCACGATCTCGCGGTCCGTGAGTTCGAGCCCCGCGTCGGGCTCTGGGCTGATGGCTCAGAGCCTGGAGCCTGTTTCCGAGTCTGTGTCTCCCTCTCTCTCTGCCCCTCCCCCGTTCATGCTCTGTCTCTCTCTGTCCCAAAAATAAATAAACGTTGAAAAAAAAAAATTAAAAAAAAAAATATTCAATACACCAAGGTGCCATATTTTAGGGTAGCGTGTCCGGAATCCCCCAGCACTGAGAGATTAGGAAAATGAACACCCAGCAAAGGAGACTGAGAAGGAGTGGCTGATAGGAGAAAAACCATGGAGGAGTTGGTGTCCCAGCATCAAGTGAAGAAAGTGTTTGAGGATGAAGAGAAGGACCCACTGCCTCAGTAAAATGAGGACAAAGGAATGGCCATTGGATTTGACATGCAAGTTACTAATGAGCTTTTTAAAAATGATTTTGATGGATCGGGATGAAACCTGATAGAGAACAGAAGTGAAGACGGCAAGTGAAAAGAGCAAACCAAAACACGCTTTCAATGAATTTTGTGTGAAGGGAGCAGGGAAATGAGTAGTAAGCTGGGGCGCCTGGCCGGCTCAGCCAGTAGGGCATACGACTCTTGATCGCAGGGTCATGGGTTTGAGCCCCATGTGTGGTGTAGAGTTTACTTAAAACAAAATTTAAAACCATTGTAGAGAAATGAGTAGTAGCCAGAGGTGGATTGTGAAACCAAGGGAGGTTTTGTTTGCTTGTTTCTTTTTAAGATAAGAGGTATTAGGCACCATGACGATCCAATATTGGAAACTATCCACTTTATATGAAGAAGGGAATGACTTTGAGTTCAGCATAAGCAGAGCTTACTTCCCACCTGGCTTGGTTCCTGAGAGCACCCCTCCTGAGCGGTTTTGCATTTACTTCTGCCAGGCGCCCAACGGGCCCTACCAGCCCAGGACTAATTTTCACATTAAAATTTCACCTTGTGGTTTGCCACACCAAACAGGTAAAATCAATTTGGATTCCAGAACCTCAAAAAGCAAAGGGTTGGGGGTGCCTGGGTGGCTCAGTCGGTTAAATGTCTGACTTGGATTTAGGTCATGATCTCGAGGTTCGTGAGTTTGAGCCCTGCGTCGGGCTCTGTGCTGACACCTCAGAGCCTGGAGCCTGCTTTGTGTCTGTCTTTTCTGTGTCTCTCTTTTCTCTCTTCCCTTCCCCTGCTCTCTGTCTCTCAAACATTAAAAAAAATTAAAAAGCAAAAGGTTTGATATCTCACCTAG